AAAATTTATGATTTTTTTTACTTGCTTTTTAATCATTATTTCAACCTGAGGCTTAATTCTGAGCCAAAAAAAAATTAATTGAGCCATTTAGCAGTAAGTCCTGATCTCACATTCCTCCCCCTTTTTCTAGTTTTTTTGCCAAGTACCCTCTCTTTTCAGGTCCCACAGAGACTATCAAATGCATGCCCCCCCTTCTTCCCCCTCTAAAAAAATATAATGATTCCAAACATCCTCTCCTGCAAATATTTTTATCCGAAAAGTTCATAAAATCTACCCAAAGTTAATTTTTCGTCAAACTCTTCCAAGTGTTAAGAAAAATAAGTATCTAATGTATTGGTCTCAAGAGGAATGATTCATCATACTGGGAATTTTTCGGGCGCGAGGACGAATTTGCATCCCAACCGTGAAAGATTTGGTCTTTTGCCAATCTCGACATTTACTTGAGGAAATATAGGGAGAGGAGACATTGTCAATAATGCAAATTGGAGGAGAAGTGTTGTCCTGTTTGAAGGCTCTTAAGTGGTCACTTCCTCTTCTTCTTCTTTTTAAAATGAAAAGTCAATAAATTAGGTTATAAGTGGAGAAAATGATAAAATTATTGAGTTTATGAGGGTTTTTTGAATCTCGGAAAAGCCTGATATGTACTGAACTCCTAAGAAAAACGATAAATTTCGATTTTTCAAAAAGACTATTTTGTCTCATTTTGTTTCATAAGACCTGAAATGAGTTATGAAACTAGTTATTTTTTATCCTAAAGTTGACTCAAAATAAATATAACTGATGATTCATCTCATTTTTCGGAAAGTGCAAGTGAGCACCAAACATACCTGTTTGCCTTAACACTTGAAAGAGTTTGATCAAAATAAACTTTGCCTAAATTTTGTGACCTTTTAACATCAGAAATGTGATTTTTAAGTTCAAGATGAGCGATTTATCCCAAAAAAAAATATGACCGTGGGAAATTTTGAAAAATCTGAGGTGAAAAGTGAATATGTGGAGGAATGATCTAGGGAAAAGTTTATGTCACTCGAAAATTATTTGATAAAAAAGAGAGTAGAATTTGGTGGAGACCATTTGAAGGAAATTTTTAGAGTCGTGACATGAAGTTTTTTCATAATTTTTTTTAGCTCCAGTTCTGATTTTTTTTAAAATTATCAAAAGTTCAAGAAAAACTTGAGAATCGACTATTTTGAATTTTTCAGTCAGATTATCGTTGGAGCTTGTTTTGAGAACATTTTTAAGAGTTTTGTGATTAGGACTTCGAAAATTTTCACAATAGTTTCAATGTCCGTAGAACACGATTGAGATAATCTGATTAGTTCTTTCAAAATTTCAAATTTTCGTTGAATTTTTTTAAAAATCGCTTTTTCGAAAGTTTATTTTTAAATATCGTTTTTTTAGAGCGTTTATTGTACCCTTTTCAGATGCTGCTTATTCTCGAGGTTTATTTCAAAATATCTAAGAAGATTCCTAGTGAAAATCAGGCTCTTTCAAAACTTTTACCTGAATCATCTTTGGAGCTTCGCGATAAAAATAGCATCTATTCGTACTGGCCGACCTATTTTTACCCACTATTTTTCGCCTTTTCTTCCCGAAAAGAATGCGGCTCCTTATTCGACGCTCCAATTTCGTTTCGAGTTCCCTGTTTACGTGTTTTTTTATTTAGTGCTCCTCATCTTGCAGCTGAATAAATAGCCCTTCAATTGTTTTGTTTTCGTTGATTTTTGGCATTTTCCCGAAATTTTTTCTTTCCAGGTTGAGTTGAACTATTTTTGGGCTTTTTATTGAGGTGGTTTTGATGGTTTTTTCAAGCTTCTTTGACAAAAAAAGAGATTTTTTTCAAAAATTTTTCAATAAAGTATGATATTTTTGTATAGGAGAAGTACATGTAAAAAAATGAGAAAAAAATTTCATTTTTGAAAAAGTGATTTTTTTGAATTTCAAGCCTTTTTTTGAGGTCACTTCTACGAACTTTTTGGACTTTTTTTATTTCACTATTTATTTTTTTCACGCGATTTCAAAACGGCTTTTTGAATTTTTTTCTCTGCAGTTTTGAAAAATAGGAATTTCGGTTCTCAAGATTGAAAAATTTTTTTAACTGAAAAGACAGGATCATCCTGAAAAAAAAAAGAAGATTTTACAAATCTTCCACCCCCAATTCACGTCAAAATGTTGAAAAAATTTGCATTTTATCTTGATTCAGTGCGAAAATAGAGCTTCTGAGGGATTTTCTTCTAATTATTCGCAAAATTTAACTTTTCCTTGATCTTCCTGAGTCTTTGAAGTAATCGAATATCGGAAAAAAATTTTTTTCTTAAGTTTTGTCTTCTTTTTGACTTCTTTTTGAACATCAACGTCTCAGTTTGCGTCAAAAATGTTCGAAAAGTCGTTTTCAAGCCTTTTCCGGAGCAAAATGAACTTTATCGCCCGAAAAAGGGGCTTCACATCCATACACAATTGACGTCAAAAAGCTCTGCCGGGCTTCCATATTTTTATATAAAAATAAAAAAAGCAAACGTTTGATCATTGAAGTATATTTATACTCGTCTATCCAATAGGAAATTGGATTTTTTCTCGTTTGATGAGGTTTTTGGAAAAAAACGCGATGAATGACTTTCTATTAAAAAAAAACTAGCTGTTCTATAGAAAGGGATGGATTTTAGAATTCACAAAAGCTCGAAAAATGTTGCAAGTGGGACTGAATTTCTGGATTTTTATAATCAAAAAAAAAACCTTTCTTCAAAATTTTTTGCAGAAATTTCTATGAATAGGTACCTCCCCGTCTATTCAAAAATTTAACAATAAATCTTGAAAAAAACGCATTTTTTTCTGCTTCTTTTTCAGCTTTTTCTGAATAGTCCTTAATGTAGTTTATTCAACCCCTTGAATGAATGGAAAATGACCTATTCTTATAATTTCACTGAATTCGTTTTGTAGTGGAAAAAATAGCACAAGATTCGCAAAGATTTTTTTTCTGACAAGTGGGGTTACGGTACTTTGAAAGTACGCAATGTGTATGCACTGGAATGTTCCGCGCAAAACTTTTTTTTGAAATTTTTTTGCTTTTTCTTGAATTATTTATCGTTTTATTCTGTATAAAAAGTGTTTATAATGCCGTGATCGAGTTAATTTAAGAAGCGAAGACTCAATTGAAAAATGTATTAAAGAGAAAAACCGTTTTCAGACCTTTTTTTTTTTAAAAGAAAATGGTTTTTCCACCTTTGATCCATTCAGCTATGATTTTTCGAGCAGAGTATACTCTGCAACATTTTTAGAATATTCTATTGCTGACAAGGAGAAAACTTTGAAGTTATTTAGAATTCCAAGGAGTGAAATTTTTGTCGCCTTCTGACGTCAATTGCAATTTTCTCGGAATTTTCGTGGAATTTTAGTTTTTTCGCTGGGAATTTTAATTTGAGTTGTAGGTTGGCTGGGTTAATTTTTCATTCAAACTAAAAATAGAAGTCCTCGGAATTTGAACTCATTAGTTGGATTTCTTACACTTTTCAGGGAATTTTTAGGAATAGATATGAAATATTTTTCAGAAACTCTTGAACATTTTGAGATGATTAGAAGTATGAAAAAAAAATGTGGTTGAATGAAAAAAGAGTTTTTTGCGATTTTTTTCAGTTCATTGTTCCTCGGTACGAAATGATTCTATTCCATTTTCGTAGAGCTTCAATTTTTTTTTCATTCAGAGACAATGGGATTTTTTTTCAAATTGTAGCTAGCTATGATGATTGCAAAAAAAATTGAAGCTAAATTTTTTTCCAGATTTTTTTCTGAGTAAGTTTTGACTTTTTAAAAAAATGTATGAGTTACTTTAAATATGCCCTGTATTTTTTCTGACTCAAAAAAACCCTGGATCTTCAATTGAAATAAATTTTCATGAATTCAAAGGACCCCAAAAGTTTATAAGCTTATATTCCGGTTTTTCAGCTCATTTTTAAGTTTTTTCCTAGTCATCAGTTCAATTTTCAGGTTTTTCAACTCCTTTATTATCCGACAGTTCCGAAAAGCCTGGGTCCTAGACACATTCCTTTTTTTCTAGTTCTCCCAAGGCTCCGCCCACTCTTTGCGTCTGCCGTCTCTTCGCCCTCTCGCCTCCGGCTCCACCCCCAACAAATCTGATGGACATCAGAAAGTTGACGAGAACGTCCGACGTCGCCTTTCCTCTGTGCTTCTGACATTTTTTTCTATTTTTCGGGTTTTTGGATTGAAAAAAAAATATTTTTGATCTTTTCTTTGATCTTCTATGTACTAGCTTCTTATCCATTTGAAGCACTTTAAATTTTTTTTGTCCGGTTTCTTTTTTTCTATTTTTTGACGCTATATCCATTTTTCGAACTCCTGATCCTTTCTGATCCACTTTCGATCAAATTTGTCGAAATTTGGCGGCTGAAGTTAAATTTCGTTCAGCAAATTATCTCCAATGATCTTTGGAGTTGACACTTTGGTTTAAAAAAAAAATTTTTTTTCCCATTTTCCGTTCTATTTCTTCAGACCTCTTTACAATCAAGCTGACTTTAGAAGATACTTTTGATGATTTAAGAAGATACATTTGGCGTCACAGGAATTTTTTTTGTGTTTTGAACGCCGCAGGATCGGTTTGCGGTACAACTAAAGTTGTCTCTTAGGGATCCCCCCTTAAGAGGCCACTTTGTTGGCCAAAAATTTTTCTGTCATTTTTTCCTTCATTTTAATCATTTTTCGATGATTCCAGTACTAATCCCTAATTCAATTTCTTGCTCCACTTTCCTACTGTACCATTCCTTTCCCTTGTTTTGGAATAATATTCAAACGAGAAAAAAAAAATGAGATTTTTGTCGGGATTTCTGCTTCAAAATTGGATTTTCGTTTGTTTTTGCCCCCCGGTCGTCGGCTCCGTTTTGTATCCGTTCCGTTTTTTTTGACGTCACCTTTTTTCGCAAATCAGGCAATTTTACAGAACTCGTTTTTGATATCGAATTGAGAAAGGAGAGAATATTCGAAAAAAAAAAATGGGAAGCGACGGTTCGAAATTGAAGCACAGCGCCTCGACCCACGAGAATTTGCCCTCGATCAATTTGCCGGCCACTGGAAGCTTCTATGAAGGATGTACTAGTGAGTTTTCAAATTTGAAAAAATTAGACATTTTGGGTAATTTGAAGCGTTATTTTGAGCCTTTTTCCTTAAAAATGTAGCTTTCTTAGGCGATTTGCGAGCCTGAATGCTTTAAAAGGACCATATTTGCTCCAAACAATAAGAAAATTGAAGTGATCACTTAAGGAGTCTCCTTGATTGAATCCTCACGTGACCAAGTACTTGAGGGCTTCAAAAAGTAACAACTTGTCTTCTCACAATTTTCCTTAACCTGATCCCTTAAGTGATCACTCAAGAAGTTACGATACTTTAATTTTAGGCTGAAAAATGGGGATTGAAGTAGTTGAGAATTTCTTTGATAAAGTTTTAGGATATTAGAAGAAAATCAGACGTTTTGCTAAGCATTTTGAGTAACTTGAGGCGGGATTTTGAGCCTTTTTCGTTAAAAATGTAAGCTCTCTCGTGCGATTTTCAAGCCTCGATGCTTTAAAAGGACAATATTTGCTCCAAACAATGGGAAAATTGAAGTGATTACTTAAGAAGTTTTCTTGAGTGATCAAGTATTTGAGGGCTTAGAAAAGTGAAGATTCATTCACAGGGCTTCTTTATTGATCTGATCCCTTAAGTGATCACTCAAGGAGTACTGAAATCTTAATTTGAGATTCAAGAGTCTGGGTTAAAAAAATTGAGATCAAATCTGATAAAAGAAAATTTAAAGTTCACTTTTTCTAGATTCAAAAAAAAAAATGAAAGATTAAGGATTTTCTGAAATTTCCATCGGTCGAAATCTCACGATAGATCGTCCAAAATTAAAAAAAAATTTTGAAAAATCAAAAATTTGTACACCAAATGGCCTTTCTACCATTAAAATTGACATCTTTTTTATTTTTTTCGACCCAAATTTGGTTCATTTGTTGTCCAAGGAAGTGGATTTCTTCTCCGCCACCTTTAAGTACAACCAATTTTTTTTTCTTCTTTCTTTTCTTGAAAACCGGATGAAGCTAATTGGCTGGGGCACTTCAAGTTGATTGTTTTCCTCCTCCTCCACAATTCGGCTCCTTTTTCTTCCGTCTTCGAGTATTTCGTTTCAATTACCGGTTCCTTTATTTTTAGAGAGGTCCTTGGGTGGCTCGAGTTGGTTATTGAGAGGATTAAATTCAAGTAGTGGAAATTGAAAAAAATTATATTTTTTTCCAGAAGATTCGGACCAAGTCAACCGGTCGAGGACTGGAAGCGCCAGCAGCCATCGCAGCAATAATCGACATCCGTTGCCCTTAAAAATGAGGCGATTGATCCAGGTATCGAAATGAAATAGTGGCCCCTTCAGGGTTTGAGTCAGAAAAAATGAAATTTTGATTTTTGTGCATAAAATTTGGTTGATTTTCGATGACCGAGCCGAAATTTAAGCGGTTTTTTAAAGCTCAAACGATTGAAATTTAATTTTTAGTGTCATGCGAAGTGGTCCCTTGAGGGTTTACGGGTTGAAGAAAAAAATAAAATTACACCTGAAAATTTAATTTTTCATGATTTCAGCTAACTTTAACAGAATTTTTTTGAATTTTTTTGTAGATTTTTCATGAAAAAAAGTCGGAAATTTTTCAGTTAGCAGCAGGAAAAAAAGGTGGCCCCTCAAGTGTTTTTAGGAGAAAGAAAAGCGAAAAATTTGATTTTTGTACATAAAATTTGGTTGATTTTCGATGACCGAGCCGAAATTCAAGCGATTTCAAAAATATTAAAATTCAATTAAGGGTCATGCGAAGTGGCCCCTTGAGGGTTTATGGGTTGAAAAAATGTTCAAATTGAACCTGAGAACATCGTTTTCTTGACTTCAGCTAAATTTAACAGACCTTTTGAATTTTTGTGGATTTTCATCACAAAAATTGGAATTTTTCAGTTAGCAGCATGAAAATTGAAGTTTCCACTTTTATACCGGAATTTTTGAGTTTCCCACCGTTCTATGACGTTTCGTGTTCCAAGAAAAACGCTTTTTATGATTTCTCTTAGAGATTCTCAAAAAAACTTTCGTGTTTTCGAGGCGAACGCACGCACGCGAATGCAATGAATTATGGGTGGGAAATCACGGTAATTACGTGTTTTGCGCCTATTTTTTGCGCTCAAGCGACTTGTGTAGCGATTAAGTGACTAGCGTTTGATTTTTGGTGTCGTAGGGGAAGATTTAGCTTTTTTGAAAAGTATACTTTTCATGGATCCACCTTAAAATGTCCTTTTAAAGAGTTCTTTTTCGTCACGGATATGGAAGATGCTTAGCTAAAAGTTCATAGTTTTTTTTTTGGTTATGGCTTAAAAATTACCTGGGTGCTCATAGGCTATTGACGGGCTTCGAAAGCCTTGAAAAACTTCAAAAACGTATTTCAATCCATCTCTGACACTTATAATTGAATAAATTGAACATTTGATTAAATTTTTGATAAGCGGGACGTTTGAAGGCGGAAACTTGAAATTTTTGAAGCTTAAGAATGTTCTTGAATGTTCATAATCATTTAAAAAAATGCTTCCTGAGGATTCAAAGAAGCAGAAAAATTACCCAAGGAGAGAATTGAGATGCGTAACCATTTTTTTAGTGTTATTTTTGAGCCCCGCCCCCTCCACAACTTTAAAAAAGCGGAATAAGAACTTGAAGCAATAAAGAATCAATTTTCATGGATTCATTCCATTTTTTGATCCCCCTTTCATTTTTGACCCTTTTACTCATTCCATTTTTAATTTTTGACCATTCCAGGGTTGCTTCGTGAACCCGCACGAGCTGGTCGGCCGCCGGATCATGAAACGAGCCTGCGACCTCCGTCCCGAGTTCGCCTCCTTCTACGGATCCCTGGAGCAGGAGCAACGGGACGACCTCGAAGATTCCATCAAAATGCTTCTCAAGAAGGTCGTCACCAACATTGAGTTCGTCGACGAGGTCTCCTTTCACTCATTGATTCTGAGAATAATGGAGATTCTTCAGATTCAAAAGCTTTCTGAGGACTTTGGACAGAAGCTCGTCGGCTACAGAGTCTGTGGCTTCAAGGCGGACTTCTTCGCCATTTTCGCCGACGCCACCATCAAAGAGTGCACCCATTTGGATTCGGCCGTCCACAAGGCCCACACAACGACGCAGGCCTTCTCGCAGTTTGGACAATTGGTTCGTGAGGGGTTTTGTAGGGGCTTTTTGAAAGGAAAAATACAGAAATAGGTTTTTTGGGGGTTTTTTAAATGGGACAGATAAATTTCTGTGTCTTTTATGACTAGGATTTGACCAATTTTGAGTATTCTTCAAGTTCCTGAAGTCCAAGGTCGGAAGTTTTGTTTCGTCGTTTTTCAGTACAAATTTAGTCAGCATTGGAACTCGGTCTGTCATTAGTTCAGTTTTAATTCAAAATTTTTGGGATTTTGGGAGGTAAATAAGGCAACAAGTCGGAATTTTCAGCTCTTTGACATTTAGGGAAAAGTTCCTTTTCATATTCAAATTTCAAGCCAAATACTTTATATTTCTGTTTCGTAACAAAACGGGATTATTCAGACTTTTTTTAAAAAAACTTTTGGCCATCGTACTGCGATTTTCCAGAAGCCATTATCCCTCCCAAGTATTTTTAGAAAACACTAGGCACCTCTGAGAGTTCTAAGACAAAGATCTGTCCTAGTTGAGCCAATTTGAGGTTTTTTTTTCTCCTCTTTTTGAAGATTCCCATCCGTTTAGGAGAGTTCTTCGAAAACTTGACTAGTTTAGAAGGAGCTGAATTGCGTTCAAACTGAAAATAGATTGTGTTCTGAGAAGTTCAAGTGGGGTGACTAAGCTTCTGGTTCAAGTCTAACTACCTCATCTTCGGAGGAAAATAAATTAAGGTATCCAGAACTTTTCCAACGAGGAAAAAAATGGGTTTTTGTGTTTTCTGAGGAGTTCTAGTGGATTGAGCTCAAGGTGAAATTTAACATATTCCATGAAAGTAATTACGATGTCCAGGGTGACCGAAAAACCGACTTTCCAAACACAAAAATTACCGTAACTCGAAAATTCCTACAGTAACCCAAGATGGTATGTACTGTAAAAGCTCCTAAAATTGGATCACCTATCGATTGATATATCACTTGCCTAGTAAAAAATCTTCAGTGCTTAGATACGCAGGTGCCTACCGTAACCCAACTAAGAGGGAACGGCTCAAAAAGTTGCCTCCGCATTTCTGATGATGGGTTATCACACTAGATGGAGTTTCATAATAATCAAAAATAATTTTTTTACCCGTTGCTTTTGAAACTTTTTGAAAATATCAGAGACAGCGTACTGCGAATCTGAAGTTTTAAAGCTTCCATTGAGCAAAAATTGAGTTTTTGTATCTTTCCTGAGAAAGAATATCGTTCTGCGGAGTTCTAGAAAGAAAACTAAGCTCAAATTTGAAGCCAGGTCACCTCAAATCCATAGAGAGGATTTTTCGAAAATTCCTGAGCAAAATGGAGTTTTTATAAATCTGACTAAAAAGGCTGATTTTTTTGATTTTTCAGGTGTTCTCCTCGGTTCGGGACGGCTTCTACACGGAAGTGAGGAGGATCCGAAGAGCTTCAAACTCCTTCTCGACCGGATCCAACGGAAGCTGTCGACGCAAGAGAATGTCGACGACGACGATGCCCAACTCCCCGACCAGCGACACCTCGGACACTGCCAGTCAGAAGGGCAGCCGTGGTGAATATTTTGCTCTATTTGTTAATGATTCTATTAAAGATCAAGCTTCTAAGGTTACCTTAAAAAGAGCCTCTACAAAATCATGACGTTTCTGGATCTTTGATATTTAGATTGAGCTTTTTCGAAAGTTTTACTGCAGAAAAGTTTTTTAGACTAACTTTCTATTACCTAATTTATACCATTGATCGATGAAAATTTATTTTGAAAAGCTTAGAGTTTTCGAAAGTCACCAAGAAATGTTCACAGTTTCAAGAAATTTGTTTGAGTTTTGGAAGCTGTCATATAAACATTCTTGTATCGAAGTCCTTGAACATCTTTAGAAATTTTTCCGAAAAGATTTACGGGTTGTTTGACCATTTTTAATAAGAATTAAACTATTTTTGATGAATTAAGAGATTTTTAAGGGTCAGAAGAGACAATTAACTAACTAGAACCAATAAACTCCATGCTTAAAAAATATAAATTGCGTAATTTTTTTCTGAAAATGAAGCTTTTTCGAAGGGTCGTTGTTGAACAGTTGAACAGGAATAAAAAATTGTTTCTTTTGTAAATTCAATAGCCAAGTTCAACCCATTTATTTTTCCAGGCAACTCGCCTCGAGCGTCCTTCTCCCGCTCTGGCTCTCCTCGATCCGACTCGCCGGAATCGTCTCTCGAAGAGCCGACCGTGTACCCATCGCCGGAATTCCTGAAACCGACCTCCGCCCAGCTTCTCACCACTCGATCTTATTGATAACCCTGTTTGAATCTCTCGTTTTGGAATATTTATTGTTCTTTTCAACACAGAAAAGCCGTTAATCGCTCTTTAATCTGTTTTTAAAAAAATGTTCTCCGTAGAGCGCATTTGACGAGGTTTTTGCGCCTTTTTTCATCATTTTTCCAAGCTTTGACCTTGTTTTTCTATGGCTCATTCTTAAGAAAAATTGCTAAATTTCACCCCAAAACAGTATTTTATCCATTGAGCGCATTCTACTATTCTTTCGCGGCTATTTTTTCTCACCTCTGAAGTTTCCATTAAAATGACCCTCGTGCCACACTCTCCACATGCAATCCAATCGATTTGCCTTCTTTCTTCGTTTAACTGGTACCTTTGGAGAAAATCCTTTTCAATTAAGATTCCCTCAAGGGTCCACTATTCAATCCTCTCGGCCTTCTTATAAGACTGGTAATAATCTGACTTTTTTCCTTGTTCAATAGTAGTTCTTGTAGTTGATTTTCTCACTTTGAAGCCCGCTTGTACATACGTTTTGTTGCCAAGAATCGAATATAGTCTGTTCAGATTTCAAATTTCAAGTCCTCGCTCGAGCTCCGCCCCCTGATGGCGCGATGAACCAATCAGAGAGCGAGCCATCCACAGAGCGTTTTCGAATGACGTCATTCTACTTGACATTCAAAATCTGAACGGACTATAACCCAAAAAAGTTATAAAAACAAGAAATAAATTTTATTGATTTTTGTTGATAATTTAAAATTTCCAAAAGAAAATCATCGATCCTCATTGATTCCGTCGAGCCCACCGACGTAGAATACTTTGCGTGGCGCCCGAGCCTCGACCGGGAACTGATAACCTGGAAATTTGACCATTTTGCTCGTTTTATATCGATTTTTAGGTACTTGGAAAGCTCTTTTGCAGATTTCTCAGCTGCTCGTGGAAGTTGATCATCGGAAGGCGATAGGCTGAAACGAAGGCCAAGGAAGCGAAGAAGAAGAGGAGCAGGAGCCATCGAAGGGACATGGTTTGTCTGAAAAACTTGAGTTTAAGAAGAAATTGGAACTCACTGCGGTATTCAGCATAGAATCAAGTATAAAAAAAGATTTTTACAGAGAATTTTCAAAAATGAGAGGTGAATTTTGAAGAAAGAAGGTCTCGAAGCGATTGGCGAGATAGTGTGTAAAATTAGAGGATTAGAGAAGGCTACAATAACTTTTTATTCTGAAAGCTTGGAAAGTTTAACTTTATGAAATGTACATTTTTTGATTAGCGCCAGTTTTGATCAAACAAAGTTTTCTGCAGTGGCGCAGTGGATAGCGCTTCAGTTTCATAATCTAGAGCTCTCGAGTTCGATCCCCACCGAGGGCAACCTTTTTTGCCTTTATTTCTTCGTCTTAGAAAGTTTATAATCACTTCAAACTTCCAAATTTCTCAACTCAATTCCATTTTTTTTTTTGCTTGTCGATTATTTTTTTTCAGCTTTTGAACCTAAAAAAATCGATACTGGTTTTTAAAACAAAAATTGAGAAAAAAAAACAGTTCAACCAAATCATTATATAGCATAATTTATTGTAACAAATACTCACTTTCCAAGTGGACTTCTAAAAAAATTTTTTTAAAAAAAGTTCGATTCCTTCGCAAAAAAATCTGACTGAGGAACACGGTTAAATATATTGTAGAAATTAACGTCAGAAAAGTCTTACCTTTTTTTATTGGAAAGTGCGATATTTTTACAAAAAGCAAAAAAAAAATTATCGAACAGTAAACATTTAAAAAAAAGTTCATTTACTGGATGAATGAGCATATATGAAAAATGGCAAAAAGTGCTTGCTCCCGGTGAGGATCGAACTCACGACCTTCAGATTATGAGACTGACGCGCTGCCTACTGCGCTACGGAAGCGGCTGATCGTCTGCGGGCTCTCGTCCGACAAGTCACTGCCGTAGAGTGGTGTAGTGGGTGAAAAGTGGTAGTGATACGCGAGAGTTAGGAAATTTTTCAACGTTAAGGAGGCTTTAGGAACAAGAGATTAAGGAAAAAGAAAAAAATGAAGGAAAACAAGGTTTATTTTCCAGAAAAGGGCCTTTCAGCGGAATATAATACAATAGACGGGTAAATATGCAAGTGCCGATGTTGTCAAGCTTATGCCAAACATCCGAAAATATAATACAAGTACGTAGGCGACTTGTTAGAATTATTAAATTACATGGAAATTTGCAATCTTGCCTTTTTTGGCCCCTTTGAACTTGATCACCCCCAAAAAAAAAATTGGAATAAATTCAATTTGAAATATAACGAAAAAGACTTTCTCAAAGAGAATTTCAAGTGAAAGAGGTTGATCGGAAAATTATTTTGCCATTGAAAACAATTGGACTTTTTCCAATTAGCTTTTTAAATGTGCTTGAGCGAAAAATAGGCTTCAAGAGGATTTTTTTTCTTTCAAAATTTTCTTGGAGAAAAACGAGCAATAATTTGAGTTAGGGTAGCTCATAACTTGTAATATTGGAAGGTTTTGAGTAGTTTGAAAAGTTCTAAGCACCTTTAGACCCCTGAAAACCTTCTAATCTTGGATTGGAAGTGTTCTTGGAAACTACTATCAGAATTAGTTCTGGCCCCGCCCCTAGTTCTTTGTTTAAGAACACGACATCGACCTTATTATATTATTATCCTTTGAGGAGAGAAATTGGTTTTTTTTTTCATACTTACTCGGTAAAAAAATAGTCGCTATTCAGAGGAAAAAAATAATATTTTTTTCCCTAGAGCAAAGGACGTTTTGAATTGGACGAGGTAGCATCGGTATACTATAAAAATAAAAAAACCAGCAGAATATTTAGGAGATTCAGCCTTATTTAAAAAAAAAACATGTTTCTTGAGAATTTACATTGGAACAAAGTAATTAAGAGAGCAAAATAAAATGCAATAAGAAATTGAAAAAATAAAATTTAAGACCATACGATTGAGCAAACTTGATACAGAAAAGAAGTGATTCCTTTATACAAATAAATAAGGAAATTCCTAGATTCGTCCATGGAGCACACTTAATCGGATGTAAAAGCCACTGCGGAATAAGACATGAATCCAATTTCCCATAGAGCCTATTTGATCTCGGAATGCAACTCGCTAATTGGAAAAATTGACAGGATAGCTAGATTTCTCAATAGAGCACCTTTGATTGAGAATAAATAGCCTCTACCTGGATAGATTCGAGATTTTTCATATGAATGGTGTTGAGTAGATAAAAACAATCGTAGTTTGAAAATACTCGGACATTGGTAACGCGAAACGGACGTGCTCCGGACGTTTCTGGGCGATTCTAGGGATCCCTTAAGAGTTCTGAGGCTACCAAAGTGGTCACTAGAAATGCCGCGACACGTCCGATTCGCGTCCCGTCCGCGTTACCAAGGTCTGAGTTAGTTTGGAATTTGTTCGATGGGGCGTACTTGATCAATAAAAAAGGCCTTAATCGAAAAAAATAAAAAAGTATTGAGGTTGGAGCATATTCTATGGTTTAAACATACCTGAGTCAGAAGAAAATAATGAAGTGAGATTGGAATTTGCCCATGGAGCGCGACAGGTTGGTAATTTATAGCCAATATTCAAGCTGAACGCGAGATTGCAAGATTTTTTCACGAATTGACCAAGAATAAGCTATAGGACTTCTATAACGGATAGATTCTGCGTTAGAGCTAATTTGACGGAGAAAAATTAACCAATCAGTTTTAAAAAAAGACAAAAATTTGGTATTTTGCGTTGGAGCACACTTGACCAGACAAAAAGGCCCTTTTTTGGATATAAGAGATTTTTCCATTAAACATAATCGGCCAAGAAAAAAGTCGTTAAGGTTTTTTGAAAAAAGATGGTAGATTTGGCGTTAGAGCTAACTTGACGCAGGAAAATTTTCCAATCAGTTTGAAAAATAATGAAAAATGGGGTATTTTGCGTTGGAGCACATTTGACCAGAAAAATAGCCGCTTTTCGGTAACAGAGAATTTCTCCATGAAGCGAATTTGATTGGCAAAAAATGGCCGTTCTGGACCCGACACGGAATTTCTTATTATCTATGGATCTCGACTTTTGATGGACAGCCAATATAAAATTTATAAGGCGAAATATCACTATTTATCCGTAGAGCGCATTTCATCTGCGAGAAAGGCGTTTTTTGAGAAATTTTTTTTAGAAAATACAGAAGAAAGTACTGAAAAACTATTATATTTTGGGATCATTCTGTGTATACATTGGTGGATTCCAAAAGAGTGTATATTAAGGCCTACGCTTGGCCGGCCACGGCTCTCACATACACACACAGCTGTGTTGAACCACTACGCATGAGTGTGCTTTTTGAATTTTTCCCGCAATTCTTACGGAAAGAGTTCAAGGTGTCAGGCTAATTTTAGAGTGGATGTGTGTAGAAAAGCTACTGGATTTATTAGGATCAAACGGCAGTTTTTTTTCTTTAATTTTGATAAGCTTTCAAAAACTTTCAAGAATGATCTAAAATTATAGAAATGAGGAAAAATGCTCTAAAAACATTGAGAATAGCGACAGATCGGACAGATTTTTTTCAAGATTTTCAAGATTTTTCGAATTTTTCACGCGATATTTTTGGATAGAGTTTAAGGATTCAGGCTAATTTTGGAATGGATATGTGTAGAAAAGCTACGGGCTTTATTAGGTTTATAAGTTAGCTTTTTTGAATTTTTATATGCTTCAAAGACGGATCTCAAACCATTGAAATGAAAAAATGACCAACAAACTTTGAAACATTTTCAAATTTAACTCTGAAAAATTGGTGGCTTTAGTTATATTTTTGAACGCTTCTTGAAATTTTCAAGTATTGTTTTTTTCTCACTTTTCAAGTACTTTGTGGGCTGGTGAAAACTTTGAAAATAAAGAAAAATGTCCAGGAAGTTTTAAAGAGCCTTTTAACATTTTGTTTTTGGAATTTTTTTGAAGGTTTTTCTTACTTTTTTGAGAAATATTTTTCTTGTAATTAATGTTATTAGGCATATTTTTCAGAATTAAAAATCTAGAGCCTTAAAAAAATTTTTAGTGAGGTTCTCAGAAAACTTTGTTTGAAAAAAAGCTTGGTCCAGCAGAAGTTTTTTTGTCAGTTTTTTTGGTTTCAAAAAAAGTTTCTGTGTCTATTAACTCACTAAATATGGTTTTTGAAGCTTTGGTATGTTTCGAAAAAAATCATAAAAAAATTTTTTTGAAAGTGAGAAAAAAACGAGTATGAAAAGTTTTTCATATAGAATTTTTTTAAGCTTCCAGTGTTTTTTTCCGGTTTCATTACTGTTAGAGATTTTTTTGGCTCAAGAAATTAAAGTAGAAGTTTGGCGTTTTTCAACAACAAGGGCTAATTATCCGAATAGAATTATAAAAGAAAGAATTTTTTCGCGAGAAAAAAAGTGTTTTTGAAGGAAGTATTAGTGATATATCTGACGTGGGACAACACGTTTTGAACTCTTGTCTAGGGATTTTTTTAAATTTGAAACCAAAAAAATCTGTTTTTAAATCAAAGGTTTTAAGAGAAATTTTTCCATTATTACTATCTAAAAAAATTTTTTTAAAAAAATTAAAAAAATGACTCCATGGTCGCTTATAAGCACCTTTATTGACCAGAAAATGGAGCAAAATAATTATTTTTTTCTCGAAAAAAATTTTTTTGGTGTCAAAAAGGAAATAGACGGACAATGACGTGGTGACGATTAATTTTTTTAATTACTTTGAAAAAAATATGATCCTTAAAAGGGAAGGGACACTGAGGACGACACAAAATTGATGGATTTTTGGAGTTTTGTGGCCTAAAAGCTGCATTTCTGAGTCATTTTGTGTGGACAGAATGACATTTTTGGCTCATTATCCACCTCTGAAATGTCGGATCGATATATGAAACTGAAGAAATCGGAATTCATACCTGAAAGACTAGAAAATTGTACATTTTGGGATTCTTGAGGGCTCAAAAGTTCACTTTTAAGGAAGGAAAATGTCATTTTCTGATGATTCCACATGTGCCTGACAGCTTAATTGTTTGAGAACAAATAGAAAGGAATTTCGGGCAAAGTCGGAGGGGTGGATAATGGCCGCTGAAAGGGAGAGGCTCAAAAAAGGCTGCAAAAAGGCCGCAAAAAGGCAGCAAAGAGGTAGCAAAAAGGCCCAAAAAAGGCAGCAAAGAGAGTCCTTTTTTTCTAGCCTTTCTTTTTTCTGGGACTCTGAAAGCTCGAGAAATGGTGGAAAAGGAAAAAGGCTGCAAAAATGGTGCAAAAGGGCTTAGAAAATGGAGCAAAAAGGCAGCAAAAAGGGTGCATAAAAGCCGGAAAATGGCGCAAAAAGGCATCAAAAAGGGAGCCTTCATCACCCTAAAGGGAAAATTTATATGGAGCCTTCCAGCAGCCTTTATGGACCCTCGGAGGGTTTTTCCGACTTTGCCTATGATAAAAGTAATGAAAGTATTTTTTTCTAATTTTTCAACTAAAGTGATGCAAAAACTTGATTTTTCAAAACTAAGCTTCTGGAAACTTTATCGCTACGGAATGACAAATCTAGTTGTAATCGAAGGTACAAAATTTTTGTTCTTATAAGGAGTTGGAGTCGTATTAAGCTTTTTGACGACACAAAATAACTGGATTTCGTGACGTTTCCCTTCCGGAAGTGCAGCGATTATAACTTCTTTGAAAAAATGTCAGACTTTCAATGTTGTTGGATTACGTCGTGTAAATTTGATTTTTGAAACCAATTGAATAAATTTTCATCACCTTCTGATGTAAGACGTTGAATAGAACTTTATTTCACAAAAAAAAAAATTTGAATTTAGCAAAAATCGAGGTCTTTGCAGGCTTCCTTCGGTGGGACGCACTCTTTGATGTGCTTCTTCAGGTCCTTCTTCACCTGAAAGTCGTTAGGTCGGTTAGAGACAGTTCTTAATGGTAGAATGATGATTAACATGCTTTCAAAATGAGATAGTTTTTTTGGGAAGTTAAAAAAATAAATTCCTCAGGAGTAATGAGCAACTTACTATTGGTTCTTTGAGTGAAGGAGCAAAAAAGTCAAGAGTGTGTCTCAGATTAAAAAAAAACACAGTGGAACTAGGGGATTAGCGGATAATGGCCGCTGAAAAAAGGCCGTAGAAAGGCAGCAAACAGGACCAAAAAAGGCAGCAAACAGTCCAAAAAAAAGGCCGCAGAAAGGCAGCAAACAGGCCCAAAAAAGGCCGCAGAAAGGCAGCAAAAAGGGTCCCTTTATCGAGCCTCCCATTTTTTTTTTTGGGATTTCATAGGCTCAAGAAATAGTGGAAATAAGGAGAGGCAGCAAAAATGGTGCATAAGGGCTGAGAAAATGGAGCAAAAAGGCAGCAAAAATAGAACCTTTGGCACCCTAAAAGGAACAATTTTTTTTGAATTTCTGAAAAATTTTTGGAAAAAAAAGAATTTTTGAAAAATATAGAAAATTTCAACAGAGAACCTTCTTCAGTTCCTTCTCGCACTCCTTACGGGCTTCCTTGAAAGCATTCTCGCAGACGACCGGAAAGTTTTCGTCGAGCCAATGGTCCAGGTCGAGGTCGACGACGTCCTCGCCGGTCTGGAAATGTTCTCAGTTAGTCTGAAACAAAAAATATTCAAAAATGCACTAAAATAGGCCGCATTTCGCCCCTCCTTGGGGTGGGATCCACTCAAAATATGGTCTAAAAAATTTAGAGAATTCAGAAAACAATTACAAGAAGCTATTAAACTCACTTACACAATAATAAAAGGGCCAAGGCGTAATATAGTACATACGTTCGAAAAGTTCCGATGATCCAGATCGAAACATTGTAAAAAAAAACTCATTTTTACTTTTCAAGAGCAAGTTTTGAGTCATTCACCATTTTTGGTAAAACTTGGTGAACGCATTTACCACCTGTTTACAGTCCCATCAAATATCAAATCAAAAAAAAAGTAGAATAAGCAAAATTCAATAAAAAGAACCAATTTTTAGTTTTTTCATGCCTTATAGCCCGTGACTTGAAATTTCACCGAACGACATTCCGCTGTTCCGCTGCGTGCGTTCGCGAAGCGTCTTTCTAATTTAGGTCACGCTTTCAATTAATTGTTATTGCTGTGGGAAAGTAGAGAACCTTACCAAAAGAAAAAAAATTAAAAGTGCGACCAAGGTTCGCAAAGGAGCGCAGCGGAACAACGGAATGTCGTTCGGTGAAATTCCAAGTCGTGGTACACAGGCTTTAGAAGTTTGCACTAATTAACTACGCCGAGAAGGAATTATTCGTTCATTAAATTTTATCAGAAACCCTTTTTTCTGGGTTTTTTTTAAGCTTAACGAGTTCCTGTGAACACAGTTTTCCGATAATGGATGAAAAGTTGCAGAAAAATTCATGATAATGGATGAAAATTTGCACAGAAAAGACATTGAAAACAACTGTTTGTGATTTCTCAGTTTTCAAATCTGTAAGAAGTATGATAAAGTTACCCTAACGATTTCCTCGCACGGAAACAGAAAAGTCCATGACCGATTTTGGCGACAAGCGGTTTTTCGGGAACCACGAAGGCCGTTGTTCCGATGGCCAGAACGGCCAGAAGTGTCAGGGCAGCGAATTTCATCCTGGAAATTTAAGTTTTTGAAAGAAAGTTCTAGCAAGTCTTCTGATAAGATTTAATAGAGATGTAATTCTACAAGTGAGCTACAAAAGCTTGAGATTTTGGGGTCAATTTGAGAAGGTTTGGTTATTAAAGGCGCATAGGCTAGTTACACAAAAGGTTTTGAGGGGAAATGTTTTTGAGTCGTGCAGACTTTCGCGCTCTAAGTTATACTAGCCTTTTAGAAAGAGAGGAGAAGTTATTCAACCATTTAGGAAAACCAAGAAAATGAAAATAAAATGAAGCACATGGCTGATAATGAGTTGATAACGGCTTTCTTATATAGTGTAGGCTGACCGGCTTCTCATTGATTTCCGCTGTTTTCCCGAACTTTTGTACCCTAGCTTGAGCTGATAATGTCTCGTTTTTGGGCTCCTTTGAGCTTTTTTCGAAGATTTTGAAGGCGGAACAGTCTTTGATGGTCTGAAATGATATCAAAAATGGCTCTTCGCTTCGAGGTTTATATAAAAATCGTCTATATTCCTTTCAATTTCACCATCGAGTAGTAAGTAGAAGATTGGAACTTTCTAATAAATTTTTCTTCTTCGAAGCAAAAAAAAAGTTCTGATGAGCTTCGGCCGGAAGTTTAGTGCAGATAAATTACGTTTTTTTGCGGATTATCAGACATTTGATGCTAATTCACGTTGTAAGTATTTTATAGTCTGTGTGCCATGACTTGAAATTTCACGGAACGACATTCCGCTGTTCCGCTGCGTGCGTTCGCGAAGCGTCTTACGAATCTAGGTCACGCCTTTCAATTGATTGTTATTGCTGTGTGAAAGTAGAGTACCTTAATAAAAGAAAAAAAAAATTAAGGCGCGACCGAGGTTCGCAAAGGCGCGCAGCGGCACAGCGGAATGTCGTTCCGTGAAATTCCAAGTCGTGGTACACAGGCTATATTCCATAAAAACTTTTCACCATCTTTTGATGTGCATGAGAAAAAATTTTATTCGACAAGTCGATTAAAAAATTAGCAAAAGTCGAGGTCTTTGCAGGCTTTCTTTGGCGGGACGCCATCTTCAATGTCCTTCTTCAGCTGTTTCTTCACCTGAAAAGGAGAATTTCAATATATTTTTGGCATTTTCAACAAATAATCCATTAAAGGAAGGAGTACGAAAATAAACACTATGCACGGCGTTTTTTCGACGACGCCCACTTTTTCTCCGTAAAGTGTGTGCATGCACTGCGCCGCTTTCGCGCAGAAAATCGCGTTTATGTAGAGAAATTTCGATTCGTCTTGAAGAACTTTGGCAATACGGCGGCCTGCGCCTTTAATATGCGCTGTTATTTAAGCTCATAGAGCCGAAATCTTTACCGTTCCCATAACGTCATGGGGGAAGGGAACGGTGGATATTTTTGGCCCCGTCCACCGTTTTTTTGGTCTTGCCTTTTTTTCCACTAACAAAAACACCGTGTGTTCAATATGATCAAATTTAAGCTTTCAATCGATTTTAACACGCTGTCTCTGTAGCTCTCAAAATCAACGAGTACAGAAAAATTTTTTTTTTGATTTTGATGAAATTTCAACCACTGTTATCATATGACGTCAGGATTGCAGACACAACTTTTTGAGCCACTTCCTGCAACCGTAGCCGGGTTACTTTTTTTCGAAGCCAGAGTCGGTACGGCCTTAACCGGGCCTCAAGGTTGAGCATGACTGGCTACAGCCAAGCCCCCCCTCCCCCCATGCTCGAAGAACAAATATAAAGCTTTTTCACGATGACTTTCAACTGAGAAAAAATCGCTTCTGCACCCTGAATCAATTTTTTTACGGTTTTTGCCAACACCCCCCTTTCTCGTTATTTTTGCCAAGTCCTCTCCCTTTTTCAGGTCCCACCGAGACTATCCCATGTATGCATGCGATTCAGATTACCTTCTTCAGCTCCTCCTCGCACTCGTGATGGATAATGAGAAGGACAGAATCGCAGACAATCGTGAAGTTGACGTCGAGCCAATGGTCCAAATCGACGTCGCCGACCTCCTCACCGCCCTTAAGAATATTTTTCAAATGGTCTATCGATATTTTATTATCACCTTGATAATGTCCTCGCAGGGTCTGCAGAACGCGCCATGGCCGACTTTGGCGACAAACGGATGCGGTTTTTCGGGAACCACGAACGCCGTTGTTCCGATCGCCAGAACGGCCAGGATGGTCAAAGCGACGAACTTCATCTTTAAAAAGGTAAGTATAGAGGGTTTAAACAGAGCTCATAAGGTTACGGTAACAGTATCCTTAAAAGGTGCTCTTAGGAATTTCAAATTTTGATGGTGCTTCCAATCGATAAAAAGGCCAGGAAAGTTGAAGGAAAGCCTTCCTTTGAAAACGTTTGATTTAGGCAAAGATGCTCTTACAGATACGGTAACAGTATCCTTGAACTGTAAATCTCTGTGAGATCCTCCTTTCACAGTATCCTTGAAAGGTGTTCTTAAGACTTCTCATATTTCAAATTTGGATAGTGCTTCTAACCGACAAAAAGGCCAGGAAAATTGAAGCGACAATCTTCCTTTGAAAACTTTTGATTTAGGGGATGTAAAAGAAGCTCATACAGATACGGTAACAGTATAAATTTCTCTATAAATTTTACAGTCAGCAGTATAGTCAGCAGTATAGTGTTCCCCACGCGAGACTGCCCTTTTTTCAAAATTAATTTTTTAAGAAAGGCTACAGTAAACACAGCTTTTTTTGTAGATTTTCGCTTAGAGGCTTCAAAAACTCCAAAAAAAAATACCTCTCGAAGCGAATTCCGCACCGACTCTGTTCAGATTTTGAATGTCAAACAGTAAACTCCGTCTCCAACCACGCTCTGTGGATAGTTCTCTCAGATTGGTTTGATCTACGCATAAGGGGCGGAGTTTGAACAATGATTTGACACTAAAAGTCTGAACAAACTATATTCGATTTTCTTGGCTTAAAAAATGTGACAAGCAGGCAAATGCTAGCACTGCTCTTTATTTAGCGTTTGGAAAAACTTCGAAGCTTGATCAGTGAAAACGAAACAAATTTTATTAAAAATCATGGTTAAAATGCGGGGAAAATAGACTTTTCAAGACATCTTTATGTTAGGAAAACGAAGAAATATGAAGAGAAAATGAGGCACGTGGCTGATAATGAGTTGATAACGACTTTTGTGATAATGAAGTTTTGATTCTTTTGTTTTTCTGATTTCAGGGATTTTTGAACATTTTCAATGAACATTTCTTGAGATTTCACGGGCAAAATCCAAAAGGTCTCAAAAGGACTTTTAGAAAAAAGGCCTCAAAAGCACCTTTTTTTCTTAACCTTGAAAGGAGGAATAAAAAATAATAAGGCGGAAAAAAAGTGAAAAAAAGGAGATTCGGAGAAACTTCTGACACCTTTTTAGGAGCTCAAAAGGGAGGTTTAGGCTCTTCTTCTTAGAGTATTTTTTAAGGACTTTGTCTATGTTTGAGGCTTCCCATTTTACTTTTTTTATTTCATGCTCTCTATCGCCTTTCCAGATCAATTTTGGAGCCGCTTTAAAAGTACGACAAGCTCTTTCACGAATATGAACGAAGACGATGACAAGTTTGATGATGATTAGAATGATACACGGGATTTATGAATAGAGAATCTACTTTGAAATAGTGAGTAATTTTTTTTAATGGTTTTTGTATTCTAAATTTCTTTCAGGCTTCTTCTTTGAGTGATGGATTGAAATTTATTCAAAAAAATCTAATAAAAAAATGTATAAATTTGAAGGTGAAATATATATATATAATACTTAATTCATTTAAAAAAAACAGTGTTCGAGTAGTTAGAATTTCGGAAAGAACTGTTTTTATCCAAAAAAATTCAAATGTCATTGCCCTTTTTTTCACAACTTTATTTTGGAAAATGTATTAATCTGGAATTTCCTTAATTTTTTTCCCAACTCGGAAAAATAGAGAAGTTTTTTTTAGAATGTGAATCTGTAAAATTGTCATATTTCGTGTCCACTCATGTCATGAATTATTAGAAAAAAAATTGAAGTTATTTGAATTTTTTATTGTTTTGGCCGGATAGGTTTTGCTATGATTTTCTTAGAACTGCTTAGTAACTCCAGAATGGTCCCTATAGGGGCCTTGGAGGGTTCTCTCTAGAGACCCCTTTACCAACCCCTACAGGGGTCACTAAAACTTTTGAAAGTGATCCCTATAGGGACATTCTCGTCAATAATTGTTATGAACTCTAAGCGATGAAGCATTTCTGTGGGAAAAGCTGAACGAATAAGCATTTTTTTGAAAGAATTGAAAGACCACTATAGGGTTCACTTGAGCTTTAGGGGCGAAGGGGTCCGACCATAAAACCCTATAGGGACCACCTTAATTTTACCTCTATACGGACCACTTCTAATGGGGTTGGTCTCTCCCCTAACCCCTTTAGGGACCACTCTGGAATTTCTAAGCCCCTTTTTTTGATTTTTTCTGGCCCAGGTGAGATTTAAAATTAAATTTCACTTGTTAATTCATTAATTTTTGTGAAGTATAAATTTTTTTGAGCGGAACTATAATTTGGAACTGAACTTCTGACTGCAATTTATTAAAAAAAAATTTTTTTGCGTTTTTAATCTGCGAAAATTTTCAGTGGATCAACAAAACTGGTCCAATCTGTTTTTTGAATTATCAGAGTTACTGGAAGGAATACTGGATGAAAAACTACTGAAGTGGTCACTAAATAGAGAACCTCTACAGTGGCCACTAAAACGGAATATAGTGGCCATTTTAGTGTCTTCTCCAAGTAGTCCGAGCCTCTATAATGTCCACTAAAAATTTTCCCAGAAGGAATAAAAATCGAAAAGACATTCATTGTCCTTCTAATGTCAAATAAAGTAGGAAGTGGACTTTTGTGAACACCTGCAATTTTTTTCAAAAGGTTATTTTTCGTTTTTACGTAGATAGCCTTCGAATTTTTAAATATTCTCTAGTAGGACTTGTTTTCATGATATTCCCGTTTCATTGATTTCGGCTTTCAATTTGTTTGTAGTCCAAAAATCAACCACTCACATCGGCTAAGTGGAAAATTGCGAACACCTGCTTGATAATTAGCTAATCTTCTAATCAACCAATTTCCTGACGAATTGCGCCGTCCGATTTCTGATTCTTCGACCAATATTTCGTATATATATTTCATGACACTTCTTTTCAAGATCTAATTTCGAAATTGCGTGACAAAGGTCATTATTCATTTTCACCTGTTTTTCTCGCATTTAAGCCAAAGTTTTCCCAAGGCTTTGTGAATCATTTCAAGCCTTTCTCACATTTTTACTCGTTGAGAATTTTTGTTCAAATCATATTTTTCATAGCGAAAACCCACGTTAATTGTTTTGGCGATTCTCATATTTCGAATGAAATGCGATCTCATTCCCATTATTGGAAGGAATTGCGAGTTTTGTATTTTGAACATTGGCTCTCGATTGCGAGTTCATTGAGATTATTCGATTAATAGTTCAATTTTGAATTGCCTTTTTCCCGAGACATGAGTGAATTATAATTAAAAAAATTTTTTTTCACTTTCTAAAAAATGTGAGGTCCCTTTCAGTGTGAGGAAAAATGCACTTTTTTTTGAAATTACTCCAAAAAGGCCCTTTTTTCTATTCTTTTGAACCCCGTAAAATGGAGCTCAATCGTGTAAGAATTATATAAGACTTTCGCAAAAATTTTCCTCATTCTTGGAAAATTTTTAGTGGCCACTAAAGGGTTTTGGCGTTATAGTGGCCACTATAGTTTTCAAATTAGTGGCTTTTTAAGGGGTTGAAAATTAGTGGCAACTAGAGGTTTTTGACGTTTTAGTGGCCACTTTAAGGATCTAAGTGCTACTACTAGACCACTAAAAATTTTAGTGGCCACTTTAGGGGTCAATGGATCATTATAACCGGTCCAATCTGTTTGTTTTAAAATTATCAGGGATAATGGAAGGAATACTGGATGAAAAACTACTGAAGTGGCCACTAAATAGGGAAACTTTATAGTGGCCACTAAAACGGAAAATAGTTGCCACTATAGAGGTGGGTTTAGTGGCCACTTTAGTGTGCTCTCGAAATGATCCTTGGCGAGTCTCTGTAGTGGCCACTAACAGTTTTCAGTAGGTCCTTTTTTCGACTTATAAAGTCTTGTAGAATGGAACTCAATCGTGTCAAAAACACGTCTTTTCTCAATTTAAATTGTTTTTTGTACATGTACTCCTTAGATTTTTCTACATTAAAACAAAAAAAAGCTGAGAATTCGATTTTTTTTAAACTCATTTAAGAAAAGATAGCGTATAATAGTTCTCATGAAAAATGACTCTTTTTGAAAAGACGATAAAAATTGATTGAATTTTTTCGACTGGAAATCGCGATTCTCGAAAAAGACTCTCCTGTTTTCTTTAAGACTGATTTCAAAAATCCGTCTGTGCATATTTCATTTTTCGAAGCTATCTTTTTGCTCTCCCATTTGAAATTCGTTAAATTATTCAGATCCCAAAAAACGTGATGAATAATTTCGAAAATCCCGAAATAATTTGGCAAAAAGCCCAGAAGGTTCCTCATTAAAGCCCGTTAACGTTTTTCTGCTCCCTTGATCCCTCGTCACATCTCTCGTTGTCTGGCCCTCTCTCTCCTTCATTTCCTCTCTTTTCCCCGTTCAATTTTCCACTTTTTCCGCCTTTTCACACCGGCTTCTATTGAATTCCGAGCCAATTCCGGATCTTTATGATCTTTTGAGCTATTATTTAGACTTTTTTTTTTCTGATTCTTGGTCTTTTTCAAGTTGTTCGAAACTTTGAAAATAGCTTTTTGTAGAGGAAAATCGACGAGGGATCGAAATGAATAATGATAGGCAATTTTGTGTTACTGGGGTATTGCTGATGCTAGCTTATATTAGAAATTGTTCAGAAGTTCTGAAATAGCACCCAATTCCGGAAACTTGGTAATAAAAAAACGAAAAATCTCAGTTTTTCTCTCAACTTTCAAGGTCACCAAAGTGCTTCAATGGCAAATGTACAAAGGCAGCTTGAACTTTTTTTTTTGTGATTTCTGAAGTTTTCTTAATGAATATATCTCATAGCAGTCCCTTTACTTCTTAAGAGGCCACTTGAATCTCAGAACCCTGAAGTGACCACTTTAAAACCTTTTTTACTAATAAAGGAGGTTACAAGTTGAGAAACGGCAGTCCTGCTTTAAACTGACTGACTGATC